CCCCAAAACCCCAAAACCCCAAAACCCCTTATCAAATAAAACTTATTGAAAAAACTCTCCAAAAAATACTCTCAATAAAAATGACTAAACTAATTTCACCACCAATTTGCACCCAACTCTCCTACCGCACAGAATCTCCCCATAAGCCACCCTTCCATCCATCCTCCTAACCTAATTTTCACCCTCTTCGTACAACCACCAAAATGGCTTAAACTCTCCTATTTTCGACCTCTTCATTAATCTCTAAAATTCTACAACTAAGCGGTAACCATCTCAAACTAGGTCTTAATCGTATAGGATATTTATACTGACGGAAGATCCTTGGTTAGGTAGAATTAAAAGTGGTGAAGTTATGAAGGTAAGTAAGGGGAATGGAGAGATTTAGGGAACTTGGAGTACGAGAGAGTTGGATAGAAGGAAAACTAGTTTTAAGAGATTAGTGAAGAGAGAGGATTTTGTGTTGAAGTTAGAGGAAAATCAATTTTTATAGTTGAAATGTTCTCACACTTTTGCTATATTCTGCCTTTTTATTTATTAATGAGGATAATAAGAAAATTTTAATGATGTTTTGTAGAATTTTAACATAAAAAATATACTATTTGGAAGATTAAATTATAATTGCTAAGATAATAATTACTTAGACTATTTTATGAATACTCTTCCGAATCTTCTGTGAAATGAGTCTCCTTGTCTATATTAAAATTCATATGAATTTCATGCTAGTTCTCTGATAAATAAAACTTAGCCCATATATTCCTGAATTTAGCACTTACATTCATCTCAGCTTGGGTGAAATCTTTTAGATATATTTGGAAAGCTGTTACGAATTCTCCATAATTTTTCTATCAATTCGTCTTTATTCAAAGATTTTTTATTTGATTTATTGGCTTTTCTTTCCTCACGATCCTGCCTAATTCTTTTACATTTATTTATTTGTGAGTCATAGCTAGATTGAAAAAGAGCATGCTTGGTCTAATATGAGCATCATTAATTTTACCTCTTCAATATTTTTAGTGTATGTGAAAGTTATTAAGCAATTTGAAGACTTTTTAGACATAGTACCACTATTCCTTCCTCCACTTCCAACTCTCCCTACAATTCCTAAAAATGCTAAAATCTTTCTAACAAAATCCTGCTGTTTTCTCTGAGATTTCGAAGCCCTATAAGTCACGTTTAAAATTACAAAGAGTTGTTGGCTTTCTTGGCTCCAGTGAAGAATAACCAGAAGATTAAACTTGTAAAACAGCTGATCATAGTTTTGGAGAGGAAATATAAGTTTAAATTTTATAGATTTTAGAAGGGGTTTTGGGGTTTTGGGGTTTTGGGGTTTTGGGG